TGAAATGCCTCTTGTTAACTCTATAGAAGTTGGCAATTGTTGACTTTATGGAAGTCAATAATTGTTGACTTATGGAAGTTAGCAGTTGAAAAGCCTAATCGTATAGGATCCACTAGGAAACCGCATGTAATGGACTTAGACAAAACTTAACCCTAGGACGGCCAACCTAGTGAATCACCTTCAAAGTCTAAGAACCTTATACATAGGACACATTGGGAGTATTTTATTTTTATGATCTTGTGTTTTTAGGTGAGGAATTCGACCAAGAGGTATGACGTTCATTAACTCTTCTTTTTCTTTTTTAATAGGTAATTAATTATTTTACACATGGATTCTTTGGAGAAAAAGAACAGTAAGGGAAAAAGGGTGAATTTAGAGTTAGAATGTCCACCATTATCCAAGAAGAACAAGTCACACAAGGATGGATTCTCTGTACAGACCAAAAGACCTTGTGTAAAAGACTTGGTTGATGCTTGGAATAGTCTGAGTAATCTTGACAAAGTGAGGTTTGACAAGAAATTTGGTAGAATTGCTGATGTGTTGCAAGTAGAGCCGGACTGGGAAATCATTAGGGCAAGCCTAAGATTTTATGTTCCACATCTTCGTTGCTTTGTTTTTCCTGAGTTTGAGTTGGTATCTACCATTGAAGAATATTTTCAGTTATTGTTCAGTCGCCCAGAAATGAGTTCAGAAGTTTATGTCCCAGACCCTGTTAACTTTCAATTAAATAAGTTGCAATTTCAATCCATACTACAAAGGATTTTGAGCTTTCCTTTAGAGTTCACAGAAGGTTGCATTATGAAGAAGAATGAAGTTTGGGGAGTTAATTGGAACATGATGTATTCCAAATTAAAGTTTGATCTAAGTTCACTTTCTGAGGAGGACCAGTTAAATTTTGTTGCCTTGGGGATATATGGAATGGTTATTTTGCCCACTAATATGGACAGTATTAGTTCATCAGTTGTAGCCATGTTCGGGCAGTTGATCAAGGATCCAAATCTTAATGTTGCTCCGATTTTAATTGTTGAAACTCTACGTGATGCTGACTATATTTGAGCTCATGGCAAGGGTAGATTCACATGTTCTGCTAGTTTGTTTACAATATGGATACATGCGCATTTATCAAAGGTAAATGTCTCCACAATTAGGGAGTTTGGAATTTTGCAAAAAAGGAATCAATTGGAAAAGAAAATGGCTGACCAATGGCATCAACAATTCTTGAACTTGAGATCCGAAGACATAGTCTGGTGTGTGACATGGTTGAAGTCTACTGATTACTTTTATCCTCCACGTGGCCATAACTGGATCCCGTTATTGGGCGTTCGAGGAGCTATTAGCTATAGTTCAACATTATTGATGAGGCAATTTCGTGATAGGCAAAGTAAACCATTGCTAGCTAGTATCACTTCATATGGGTTTGATTATTCTCTTGATACTCAAGTAATTAATCAAATTGGCTTTGCCAAGGAAGTATGGTCACAATGTGAAGTTCGTTTCTCAAGGAACAAGATTTCAATCACTTCTGAGTTTGAAGAATGGAGGAAAGTTTGGCTTCAAGACATAGTTATCCCTTATGACATTCCTATCATTAAAGAAGCTATCATTGTGGATTTGAAGAAAAGAATAGCGGAGTTAGAAGGTTTGTCGTGTGCTCAAAGGGTCAAGCATGAAAATGAGATTAGAGAGAAAAATATGGACATTTATTTTCTGGAAGGTGAGAAGCAAAAATTGATTAAGGAAAAGAATTCTATAACTTTTGAAAAAGAGGAGGCAGAGAAAGAAATTGGCAAGCAGGCTCAAACTCTTAAAAAGTTAAGAAGAATCATCCAGAAGGAAGAAAGGCAGAATGATCATTTAATGAGTGATAAAAACAAGTTGGAGGATGAGCTCAATCAAGCCAAGGATCAGAGTGCCAGTTTAAAGACTCTAATAAACCAGCAGCAGGGTGAGATTGATCGACTTAAGGGTTTTGAAAATGAAGTGGAGAATTTGCTTGACAATAAATTACAATTGTTGCAAAAACTTGAGGAAGCTCAAAATAATGAAGAACTGATAAAGGAAAAATTGGCGTTAATGCAAACACGACAATTTTATCAAAGTGAGAAGATAGGAGGATTGGAAGCAGAGGTAAGAAGCTTAGAGGGACAATTGGGTGAGGCATTAGCTACAATTGATCAATTAAAGAGAGAAGGAGGAAAGGTGCTCTATTTGGTCAATGGAATCTACTCCGAGGCAATGAAGGTTGAGCGTACTATTCCACCAAATCAACATGATGCGGCTTCAAATTTTGTGGAAGGGCTTTCCAGGAGGATAAGGGATTATTGTGAACATGAACTTGAAACAATAGAGTATTGGAGAAACAAAGA